ATGCGCGTATATCATCAATATGATCGTTCGGTATGATGTCTCTCTAATGAGTGCGAATAGTTATTTCAGACATATTTTTGATTGCTGAACATGAATCCGATAATAAAATTTGGTGATTATATCAATTTAAAAAATCACACTAAAATTACATCAATCAAGATAAGAATTATAATAACAGTATGATATTATTATTTTAAGTTCAAACTTAGTACTCAAAAATGCGTCTGAAATAACTATACGTACTCATTGGAGAGAAATCGTACCGAACAAATATATTCATGATATACGCGTACAAATAAGATTTACTAATAATGTTTACTAATATTTATTTATTTTATTTATATATACTATATCTAGAAAACGAGATATTGTGGCAAAACAGACAAAATACATTTTAAAGCTAAAAGTTTATATTTTTATGTAGCGTTAACGAAATTTAGAAACGTAATTTGCTGCATGTGCTACGACACTATTGTTGTAAGTACAGCAATGAGGTATGCCGATGACCATAAATGAGGGCCACGGCCCGAAGTACCAAAACGCTGGGATGCGGAAATGCAATCTGGCATTCTTGCAATAGTAATATCGAAATTAGGATGGCCAGCGTCCTCATTCAGATGACACTGACACATCAACACCATTCCCTCTGATTGAGACATAGGAAGAGAATACTCTAGATTTTTAACTCTCGGGTACCGACACGCTTTCGGACGTGTACGTAATATTGTATCGGGCGAACAGGAAATAAAGACCGGTTCAGTCTTTTCTACAACAAGATAGTTTATTCATCACCGCCTCTTCCCGCTCCAACGCGTTGTACAGGGCAACTCCACATTATAGCGACGTCTCGAACGCGCAACAAATCTGGTGGCAGCGGTGGGATCGCCCTCCAGCAACAGCTTGCAACAGAAAAAGGAAAAGGATTCTGTGAAAAAGCAATCGCAAGTAACAGTTTGGTAAGCAACAAATCTTGGGACGACCAAAAAGAGAAAGGAAAAACTACGTGGTAACTAAGAAAGAACGGATTACTACCAACCACGATAGTAGAGGAGGAGACGAAGCAGCAAAGGCAGAAGGAACGACTTACCTTAACGCAGCGACCAGCGCTAGGCAACTCGACACCGGACAATCGGAGCACAGAAACGACCCGTGCGAGAACGAGACAGCGCGATCCGTTGAAATGCGTTCCGTCTTCTTAATGTAAGTGCTAATCTAATACACACAAGCGCACACACATACACACACGGTCGAGAAGCCAAACCGAGCGCGTAAATGTTCGAAGGTAGTAATATACCGCGTAACTCGTGCAAGAACTGATCCTGGCTGCATAGCGAAACTGTAGCGAATATACTAATACAGTCAGCCGAACGACTAGACCAGAATTTCAATAACTTAATAAATAGCACCGCGCAAAGTATATGAGAAGAAATACAAGACACGCTACTGTACTTGAAGGTTCAAACGTAGAACAGCCCCCAATACACGGTCGTAACAGAACGTGAATTTCAGTTTAATGAAATCGATAGTAGTACATTGTCAGTAACTTCACACGTTAGGCGACAAAGAAATTTGCCGAGTAATAGTATCATTACTGACGTGTCAGGCAGAGCAGAATTTTCTTTAACTTCATACGATGATAGCGTTTTCCACCCGTGCGAAGTACTTGATAACTTAAATATTGACAGGCGTACAGAGCAAGATGTATCCTATATTGACGGCCCCGCGATAGATGAGGAAATTGATAGATTACGAACCACCGTCGCGCAGCGTACAAACGGTAACATGGATGAAAACCCATAACCAAGAGGCAACAGAGGAGGAGAACGTGTCTCCCTAGTGGAAATCTTACTAGAGTAGATATAAAACCTCACTACCCGCGTAGCATTAGACGAGAAGTTTAACGTACTACAACAGAATAACACGGAAGGATTTAGTAACGTACAAAGGCCCACTGCAACGAGACGCTGGAACAGAGACTGAACGTACGACCACTTATAAACACAAGACTCTCACTCAGAAGACAGTCACGCATTGAATTCGTTTATAACTGACGCTAATAGGCAACGAATAAAGGATGCTAGGTACTTGATACCAACTTTTGATGGCTCCAGTAAAGAGAGCCTTAAGGCATTTTTACACGCCTGCAATTACGCCTACAGTCTAATACACTCCACGGAAGAAATCGCATTAACTAAGGCAATAACCTGCACGAAATTAAAAGGACATTCCATGAGGGAATTGGAAAACTAAAATGTAACTCCCTATCGACACTTGAAAGAAATACTAGAGGCTTGCTATTCGAGAAGAAAGGCGACTACACGGTTACAACGCGAATTTATTTGGTTGGGGAATAAGTTCGTAACGTTTTTATCAAAGACTTTTATTTAAACAAAAATCAATAGTTATAACAATAAATTAATCAATTATGTATTCGCCGTTGCTGTTTACGGCCTCCTCCCACCTCTCGACCAATTTGTCGATGCCGTTCCGCCAAAAATCGCCCGGTCTGGTATCGAAGAAGTTGTTGAGCCAGTTTTTAAGGTCCTCTTCATTGTCGAAGGTAACGCTCTTCATATGGTTCGACAGGGAGCGGAAAAGATGATAATCCGTCGGTGCAAGGTCCGCAGAATACGGTGGATGCTAAAGGACCTCCCATTCGAGCTCTTGCAGTGCGGCTTTGACGACTTGTGCAACATGGGGCCTGGCGTTGTCGTGAAGGAGTATGGTTTAGCCTTGTCGATAGGGTCTTTTCAGTCGAATAGCCTCTTTCACGCGGTGTAGCTGGGCTATGTAGAGCTCCTTGTTGACCGTGGCATTCTTTTCGAGCATTTCCCAGTGCACCATGCCCTCCCAGTCCCACCAAACGCAGATCATGGTCTTCTTTGGATAGAGGTCAGGCTTGACTGTCGGCTTTGGAGTATTTCCTGGAGCCACCCACTCCTTTACTTGCTTCATATTTATGTATAAGCACGATTTCTCATCTCCCCTGACGATTCGGTACAAAAAGCGCTGTTTATGGCCGCGTGTTGCTCGATGGCGGGCGAGATGTTGAAAAGCAATTTGAAGGCGAACTTCTTTGTTGTTTTCGTTAAGCTCGTGAGGCACCCAGGTTCACAATTTTTCGGCAAATCCCATTGAATGAAGATGATTGAGTATCGTTTTATGATCGCAGTTCATTTTTTCGGCCAATTTACGACTTGTTTGGTGACCGTCCTCTTTCAAAAGTGCTTTGAGACGCTATTCGTCGAATTCAGAAAGTCTTCCGCTGCAGGACGTGTTGTCGACGTCAAAATCGACATTTTTGAAGTTTGTAAACCATTTCCGTGCTGTAGGCTCGCCTATGACACTTTCTCCGTATACGTTGCATATGTCCCGGGCTGCTTCAGCAGCTTTTTGGCCTCGATGAAAAGTGAAGAAGAGCAGGTGTCGAAAATGTTGCTTTTTATCTTCTGGATTTCCTATTTCCTAACCCTTTAAAAGTAATAAAAAATTAAATTACTCAAAAAGACGATTAGCACAGTTTTGTAGAGGAGAAAGAGTTCTATCGAATGAATATTATACACTTCGTCAAACAGCAAAAAAATCGTTTAAAAACAAAAGAAAATATAAAAACGCTACGAACTTATTCCCCAACCTAATAATTTTTGACGGAAGAAGACCGGAGAAGATGCGCGAGGCTACGGAAAAAGTGTTGATAGACTAGCAGCAGAATTATTTGAGTCATTCACTGAAGGTACATTGTACACCCTGGCAGAAAAAAACAATACACGAATACATAAAATCTCATACGCTAATAAATTTCCAACTCGGGCTAAATGATAAGCTGCAAACCATAGTACGATTCCAAGCCCGCTACGCTAGCAGAAGCAATCGCCGGAGATATGGAGGAAGGAAAGGTGAAAGGTGAAACGAATCACTATGATAGTCGGGAAAGTGCACTCCCATATAATGGTCAATCCACGACATATCCGCGCGCCCGAGAAAAGCTATACCTCCGACCTGTCATAAATGCGGCAAAATGGGACATCTAGAGAAGGATTGTCGTACCAGCCGTTACGCGAACCGATTTACCCTACCAACAATAAGTAAACGCCCTCCCGTAAACGCGATGGAAAAATATTGCACACAGCGTAAACGGGTAGGACATACACGCGAAGAATGCTGAAAGCTGCATTGGTAACCGCCCGAACACGCTGCACCTCACCACGAACGTCGCGTAGGGCGATAAAGTACAATTACCGCCTCGACAGCTAGGCGTGAAGTGAACCAAGGAGGCCCCTCCAACGAAAGCAAAAATAAAAACGAGAAGCAAAAAGGAGAAAATAAAGCACAAAGTGCTCGCGAATTCCAAATCAATCAAATGAAAAAAGCGAAGCAAACATACGGGGGACTGGACTTAATAATACTCCCAATATACAAAACCAGACAAGGAAAAATTCCGCTCCTATTGAATACCGGCTTGTCAATTAATTTTGTAAAAGTACAAACCTTAAAAGGGGAAAATCCCGTGACTGTAGACGAAGTAGTCTTGACCGGAGTAACCGGACATCAAACAAGCACGCTAGGCAAATTTATAGCAATTATAAAACTAGGGAGGCAAGTCCTGCAAAACGAAATCTAAGTAATAAAAGGTGATTTCCCCATCGAGTACGAGGGAATATTAGGGATAGATTTCCTGCAGGCGCATAACGCGACCTGCAACTATCAGGGCAGAAAAATTAAAATCCTTTAAACAATTAAGGTAACAATTAAGGGAACAATTAAGGTATGTTACCACACCGAATATATCAGATGCCTGATGAACTGCCCGAAATGAAACAATAATAAAGGCCGCCAAAAATATAAATTCAATAGGAATTTTTACAGCTGAAGAAAGAAAACCTGTACTTTTTTTTGGAAATTGTCTGGTAAAACCAAACAATTATACTTATAAGGTGATTGTCATAAATACTACGGAGGAAACAGTCGAAATAGTCACCCCGTATGTAATCTTAGAGAATATGTCGCATGCTAACGAGAAGGGAATAAATATAATAAATACGAGACAGAAACAGGGATACACGGTGCAAACACAACTAGAAAAATTAAAGCAACAAGTACGCCTGCAACATTTAAACTGTGAAGAGCGAAAAACAATACACACAATTTGTGAGGATTTCAGGGAAGTATTATTCTTATTTTATTCTTCCTCGAATGAGACCATCTCACTCACACTACAGCGGTGGAGCATCGAATTGCTACTCGAGGTAACGTAATATAACGCCGGTGAATATAAGACCGTATCGTCTGCCCGAGAATCATAATAAGAAGTAGATCGACAGGTGCGAGAAATGCTCGATGCTGATATCGTTTGTCTCAGCAAAAGCCAATAGCATGCTCCCCTATTAGTGGTGCCAAAAAAAGCCGACGCGACCGGAAAAACCAAATTGCGAGTCGTGATCGATTTTAGAATATTAAATGATTTAACAGCTGGAGATTTCTTCCCACTACCAAACATAAATGATATCCTAGACCAACTTGGAAATACAAAATATTTCACAGCACTAGATATAACGTCAAGTTATCATCAAATCTCAATGGGCAAACAAGATAAGCAGGAACGGCGTTCTCAACACCCACAGGACATTTCGAATTCAACCGAATGCCTTTCGGGTGAAAAAACGCACGAGCAACTTTTCAGAAGCTAATGAAAAGAGCACCAGCAGGACTACAAGGTATAAAATGCCTGTTATATCTAGACGACATCGTCATCTATAGGTCCAGCCTGGAGGACCATAAAAAAAATTAATCACTGTATTAAAGAGTTTGCGCCAAAATAATTTATAATTACAACCAGACAAATGTAATTTCCTATGGAAAGAAGTTACGTACCTGGGGCATATAATTTCAGAAAAGGGAATTTTACCCGACCCATCAAAATTAGAGGCAGTACACACGTTCCCAGTTCCAAAAAAGTCAAGGATATACAATCCTTTATAGGCTTAGCGGGATACAACCGACGGTTTATAGAAAATTCTTCTAAGATATCACGACCCTTAACAAAATTAACAAAAAAGAAAACACTATTTTAATGGGGAAAAGAACAAGAACATGCGTTCTTAACATTAAAGGAAAAATTGACAACCGCTCCCGTACTAAAATATCCGGAATTCGACAAAACATTTATCATCACCAACGACGCTTCGGATTTCGCGATAAGAGCTATATTGTCACATGGGCCGATAGGAAAAGACAACCCTATATCTTACGCTAGACGCGTATTATCTCGCGTAGAACAAAATTACAGCACTACAGAAAAAAAACTGCTAGCAATAGTATGGGCAGTGAAACATTTTCGCCTATATGTTTATGGAACAAAATTCAAAATAATAACCGACCATAAACCAATGATATGGCTATTTAACGTCACTGACCCTGGATCACGATTATTCATGCGGCGACGAAAATTAGAGGAATATGATTATAAAATCATACACAAGGCCGGACGCGCGAACACGAACGCCGACGCGCTTAGCAGAAATATACTACTACCTGTCTTAAAGATAGGCGCCCGGCGGAGGCAGAGGAATGAGACGAAGAAGAGAAACACTCTGAGGAAAAATAAGTAAATGTAACAGGAAACCCTCGGAACTATACCGAGGAAGAGTAAAGGAAAATACTTTATGAATATCGCGATTCACATCTAGGAGGGCATCAAGGCGTGCAAAGTACCATAAACAGAATACGGCTAAATCACCAGTGAAAAAATATGGTGGCCGATATAAAAAATTACATTAATAAATGCGAATTCTGCCAAAGAACAAATTGCCCAAAAAAACTAAAATGCCTCTAGTAATTACTTATACGCCGCGCAAACCATTTGAAAAATGCGCATTAGACGTAGTAGAACCATTGACAGTAACACGAAATGGAAATAAATATATACTAACATTTCAAGATAACTTAACCAAATTCAGTAAGGTGATACCTATACCAAATCAAGAAGACTCAACCATCGCTAAAGAATTTATAGAAAAATAATTTTGGAATATGGAATCCCTGACAGAATACTAACGGATCAAGGAACGAACTTCTTAAGCAATGTGTTTAAAAACATTTGTAAATTATTAAGAATACAAAAAATACAAACAACCGCGTATCATCCGCAAAGTAATAGCGCGCTAGAACGCTCGCATAGAACACTGGCCGAATTCTTAAGGGGTTAGGCCAGTCTAGGATTTTCAAAAAATCGAAATTTTTTTTTTGCTTAAAGTACACTTTAGGGTCCTAAAAACATTATTCAATTGGTAGAATAGTGTAAAAAAAATTTTTTCCCTGTCCAATCCGCTGTAGTGTCAAAGCGTTCGGAGCGGGCGACGAGCGCATTTTCTATCTGCCGCGGCGGGCTTCCTTTTGTCCCCTTTTTACGACTCTTACCCTCTGCACTAATGTACCAACGGGGCCGGAGGGCTCTAATGGTTCCCCAAAAGGCCGTTAGGAAATGCTAGTTCATCAATACAGCTGTATGTGTGGGCTTGTGTGTGGGTCAGTCAGCTGAAAAACGACGCCACGTGTGCACGCTTCTTTTTGTTTTCGTTAGTTTTTCAGCTTCAACGAATTACTTTATTGACTTCAGTGGTTTTTACTGATAAACTATCATTGTTAACAATATGAGTGAATTATCAACAGATGCCAAGCCCAAGCACGATCACTGCCCGAGCGGAGAAAATTCGTGATACTCGTGGCAAAGGGCCGAGGCCACTGGAACTTTGGACAAATATACACATAAACCACTTTTACATGAAGAAATATACAAGGCTATAACTCCAATTTATGAAAAATTAACCAGTGATGACCTACTCACTCATTGCATAAGCGGCTTCACTCAAAACAGTAATGAGAGTTTCAACGCTATAGTATGGTCGATGGTCCCGAAAGTGACATTCATTGGCAAAAATGTACTTGACACAGCTGTATATATTGCTGCAGGTACTTATAATGATTGCCTCGCAAGTGCCATGAGAGTCATGCAGAACATAGGCATCAAAATTGGGCCAAACTGCTACAATTACTGTCAAGAGACTGGTCAAAACCGCATCAAATTATCCTATCGTTCGCTCTCAGATGCTGCAAGAAAGTCTCGAATCGAACAGAAGGCATCCAGAAAGGAAGAAGATGAGTTCCACGTGTCCATGGAAGGTGAAATGTACGGCGCAGGCATCGCAGACTGAAGGTATAACAAAATTTTAAGCACGTAAAACTTTAAACGCGTTTTTCTCGAAACTGCATTTTTCAAATCGGGCGACGATGGTACTCGGAGACTATCGCACGTATCCACTTGAAATTTTAACTGTAGCTTCACAGTAACATTATCTAGTAAACTACGTACGATTTTTTTGTTATCATTGCAACTTTTTTTTTTATAAACAATTTATTGCTCATTTTTTTTATCAAAAATTGAACCTTTTTTTTACAAGTCCGCCATTTTGCGAAAAATTGATGTAAAGCTAAAAACATACGTACTTTACTATCAAGTCTTATGACTAAATTAAATCCCGTTCTTTATTTTGTTTCAGATAGCACGAGTTCCTATAATCAGCGTCGCCCGTAGAGGCCCTCTTGGAAAAGGTGATTCCGAAGATTGGCCCAGTAGCCGCTATTTTGTATCAAAATGTCAATATAAAAATTTTTTTATACACTCAAATACATGTTTAATAAAGCCTGAAAGAGAGAAATTCGATTCCTTTTTCTTTACTCCCAGAATAAATTGTCAAAGTTAGGCCTTTTTTGAGGGCTCTTTACTGGCCTAACCCCTTAAGACATTACATTAATACCAAGCAAACGGACTGGGATGAATGGATGCCATACGCAATTTTCAAATATAATACGACCCTGCATACCAGCACAGGCTATACTCCATTCGAGCTATTATGCGGATATGAAGAAATATTACCTTCTGCCATTACCTTATACCTACTACCCGAACCTACTTACACTTTCGACGACTAAGCCCAGGAACTCAAACAGAGATTACGCGCAGCTAATCAGCTAGCAAGAAAACACGTAAAAGAAAAAAAAAATGAAAAGCAAACGATACTACGACCAAAAAACTAGAGGGGTCCAGTACCAAGTAGGCGACAAAGTCTTATTATACGACGAAACCATATGCCGAGTAAAATGAAATAAACTCGACGCCATGTGGAAAGGACCATATGAAATAATCAAAGAACACTCCGATGTTAATTATATAATAAAAAAAGACTGAAAAACCCTAACCACTCACGCAAATCGCCTGAAACACTATATTGATAACTAAACACTAAAAAAAGAAGATTAAATATCGGAAGAAGGCACAATTCAACTCACATTCTCCCATCACTATTTATTTGCAGGATGACCATACTCAGTAGCATTATATATACAACGAGCGAGCTCCAGGAAAAGCTACCCTATATACTTCAAAAATTTCGGGATACACCAGGGCTGTACTTTGATAAACTGGGAAAACTTCACCAAGTAGCCGCCACTTGGAAGATGGTAATTAAACTGGACATTGAATCCTTAAACCACCGTAAAACCAAATAAAAGAATATCTTCATCAGACAAAGCTAACATGCCGCTCCTTGCACAAATGTGAAAACCTGCGCAAAATTACATAAAAAAATCTGGAACGTATACGCAAAACAACAGACAGTATAAATAATACGAGGGTGGTCCCTAAAGTACCCAACCTGACCTAGAAATGGCGGTAGTTGTTTAAAAAATATCACTGTATTAGGAAGTATACAATCTATAAAGCATGTGTTTCAAGTTTGAAGACGCACGTTGCTTAGTATTTGTTTGGCAGCCATCAATAGTGAACGTTTTCAGTTAATTTGTGAAAATGGAGAAAATTGATCATCGTTATGTGATACAATACTTTTATTTGAAAGGCCTCAGCCCAACCAGTATAAAAGCTGAACTGGATTCTACTCTGTGTGAATCTGCTCCTTCGTTTACAACAGTAAAATATTGGGTAGCAGAGTTTAAACGAGGCTGTACGAGCTGCCAAGACGAGCATCGCAGTGGTCGACCAAATGAAATGACGACTCCAGAAATGGTGAAGAAAATCCACAAAGCGGTACTGGATGATCGTCGACTAAAAGTGCGCGAGCTAGCAGACATAGTAGGCATTTTAAAAAGTGCGATACATCGCATATTATCTGAAAATTTGGACGTGAGAAAGCTGTGTGCAAGATGGGTGCCGCGTTTGCTCACACTCGAGCAAAAACAGTGTCGTGAAGATGTTTCAATTGAGTGTCTGGTGAACCTTATTCGCCAGATTTAGCCCCCTCGGATTATTTTCTGTTCCCAAACTTGAAAAAATGACTCAGTGGTCAAAGATTTTCCAACGATGAAGAAGTGATGTCGGCAGTTAATGGCTATTTTGAGGAGCAAGACAGTTCTTATTATAAAAAGGGTATCGAACTTATTGAACGTCGCTGGGAAAAGTGTATAGAGCTAAAAGAAGATTATATTGAAAATAAATACATTTTTTCCCAAATTTTTGTATTTTCTTTGTTGGGTCGGGTACTTCAGGGACCACTCTCGTATATGCGAAAGCACTACTAATTTAAGACTAGGAATAATTGACGGTGTAGGTTCCATAACGAAAACTTTTTCGGGTTAATGGATGCGAATTATGACATGATAATAAACGAAAAACTGAGTCTATTGGAAAATAACCAGAAAACTCTAAAGCATACGGTAGTAAACCAATTACAAATTTTAAATAAAACAATAGGACATATGAGCACCCTTGAAGAAACGTTACAAGAAAACAATGAATTACTGATGACTAGCATAAATAAACTCTCTATAAAACAAAGTGAATTTATCGAAGGGGAAGAGATAAACAAACATTTTAACAATTCTAAATGCCGTAATTACTGATCTTATGCGCGATCAGGAAGATATAATGATCTATCTAAATAAAATAAATCAAGGAAAATTGTCACAACAAATAACACCGGTAGATAATAATAAAAATCGCAAGGAAACAGTAATACACATACCTAAAGGCACCCATTTCCCAATTATCTTTTCAGTAGAAAATTGGCTGCAAATAAGCAAATATATAACAATTAGCGCGTATTATAAAGAAGGAAATATATTCACTATTTTAAAGATACCGTTGATAACTTACCCAGCTTACGAAATAGTACAAGTAATACTTCTTCCCATACATGTTCATGATAACGTATTCGCACTGACAGACGTCATACACACAAAAACCGCTGTTAATACAGAAAGTAACACATACTTAGTTTTAACCAAAAACGAATTAAACGAATGTATTAAGCTATGAAGGAAATCGGTACACATGTTCTTATAACACTTCAATATATCGCGTACACTCCGATTCACACTGCGAGCTCCAAATGTATACCGCACAGAAAACACTCAAAAATTGTAATATTAATTATGTCATCATAAACAACACTGTAATCATTTCTTTGATAAGAAACAACGTTTGGCTGTATTCAACGCACAGCGTATAACAAATAATGACACATTGTAAAAATAATATACAATATCGAGAGAAAATTTTAAAAGTTGGACTTATTCAATTCCAACAGCAATGCAGATTTACAATAGAAGATACTATAATACAGACCCAGGAGACTTTTGAAACTAACGAAATGCAAATAAGTATACCAGAATATAATCTCATGTTTTCTCAACAAAACGAATACATAACAAAATATAGAACATAACGAATCAAAAACAACGCAGCACAAATTTTAACAATGAAAAAAGTAATATAGAACCCCGCGGGATTAACAAATTAAAAAAACAGATTGTCTGAAATACAGCAAGATCTAAAGAACCAAAATTCTTTCGAGAAACATAAATATTTAATCTATTCAACCGCGCCGAGTGGAATAATCATTATAATTGTAATTATCGTTATAATATTATTACTAAGTATATTACAAAATATTACAAAAAAAAATCCAATTGTTATAGAACGCCGCAACAGCGACATACGACAAACGATAAGAATACCTCGCTGTAAATTAAGAGAATCCCGCCGAAACGAAACCAACAAATAAAAATAATGCGGTAATTAAGAAATAAACGATTGTATTAATGTATTGTACACGGAAAAATAAACTATTATAAGCGAAAACGTCGTCCCTCAGTTTTTTCTCTCCAACGGGTGGGGGGGAAGTTGTAAGTAAAACAATGAGGTATGTCAATGACCATAAACGGAGCCACGGCTTGAATTGTCAAATGTCGCTATGCGGAAAAACAACCTGGCATTCTTGCAATAGAAATATCGAAATCAGGATGGTCAGTGTCCTCAGTGTCCACAGATGACGCTGACACATTAACATCGTCCCCTCTGATTGAGACATAGGAAGAGGATAAAAGGGGATGTGAGACCGGCGCGGGGGCGACTCTAGATTCTTAATTCTCGGGTATCGACACGCTGTCGGACGCGTACGTAGTATTGTATCGGGCGAACACAAAATAAAGTTCAGTTTTTTCTACAATAAGATAGTTTATTCATCGCCGCCTCCTCCCGCTCCAACGCGCTGCACAGGGCAACCCCACATTACCGCGACATCTCGAACGCGCAACACTATGGATACGTTAACAATAGCCATTTTTGGCCACTTTAACGCCATTTTCTTCAAAATTATGACGTTAAATTTAGAAAACAGACTCGTGTTCAGCAGACAAAAATTAATAAAAATCACCTAATCTCATTACATCCGCAAATTTTCGCAGGCTAGTGTAATTATACGAATTTGAACAAGTTTAACAGAAAACAAACACATTAGAAGATACGAACTGCCGTTCCGTGGATTATGAGTCTAGTACGCTGCTATCGAACTACTGGACGTTTTGCAGGGAGCGTAAGCACTAAGGAATTTATAGAACAGTAGAATATACAATTTCGATTTTTCGCTCATTTTTTAGTAGTACGTTTTATTGTTTGGCAAATGTCGATTGTGTGTTAAGGATATATTATATTCTTACATAATTTAATCAAAATAAATGTGTTAAGCCTTCCCCTCGTTAGTAGAGTCTGTTGGAACGATATTTAGACGGCTTTAATTAAAATAATAACGAAAACCTCAATGTCATTATATGACAAACAGCCTCGGAGGCACTGTTCAGCAGCACTTCAATTATATAAATTGTAGCTGACATTGCAACCATAATATTGGGTTGTTCGCAAAATGCGTGCGGTTTTTCAACAGATGGCATTAAAAAATGTATATTTAATTTAATAATGTACATTTTGTTGTACGTAATTTTAACTTATATATACGTATTCTGAAAGAGTAACATTTCAACGCATCGTTTACAAATAAGAATATTCGGATCGATTCAGTTGTATTAATTTTATATCAATTTAAAAATGGGGA